GAATATCTATAAGGTTCAATGTATACAATATATACAATAAAGAAAATGCACACCTAGCTGAGAATATTTCATGTAATAAAAATTATGTGCTAAAGAATGATGTTAAAAATCATTTACTTTAAGTGGTAGCACATAGAAGAGGTGAACATAAGTCTAAATGATTTTAATGATACATAAACCTATCCATAAACAAAATTAAAAACCCCATAAAGCAAGGATGCCACACCAAGCAAACATGATACAAAATATCACATTAGGTAATGTATACAGGGAACAAAGGAATTAAATTTTAGGTGCTTTAAACTAGCAATTCTAACTGATTCCTCTAACATTGCTTCCACCGAAATAAAAGGAAAAAGGCTGGGATGCGCAGAGAGTTAAGTAAAGGAGAGCAAGGAAAGATATGTAGAAGAAAAAATAACCAACCTGTCTGATAATGAAGCGAGTGGGAAGACACTTCACTGTCCACGTTAGAATCACACTCAGAAGATGATTCTAGTGGAGGCAATCGACCGTCTGTAACACCGAATCAAAACAACCCCCTATTATAATAGAGTTGTTATCGGTGTTTATTTATTTCGTGTATATGAATTTGAATATTTCCCACAGTATAACATAGATTTCACGAGATATTAATATAACAAATATTTCCCGATATTTGTTTATAGAAGCAAAGATACTAAAGCAATGTAAACAAAATTATATGTTTTTAAAAAGACCTGCATCCAGAAAGTGAAATGATATTTAGAAAATTAGAAAATATAACAACAGATATAGAATTTTATCACTGTATGCTATTTCCTTTCTGACTGCTGTTTACAATTCTCTATCACAATGCAGTGCAGTCAGCTCATACAAAAAGGAAATAGGTTAAAATGAAAATGAAAGTTAAGCAATGAAGATGTATGATTGTGAAAAGTATAAACAGAGCAAATAAATTCATAATAACCAATTATTTTAATATATTTGCTAATGAAAACAAAAAGAATGAAACTGTATTAAAATTAACAAGTAAAACTGCACATTATAATATATGTATTCCTGAATTTATATAGGCTTTTAATCATTTTCTTATTATAAATTTTTTTTTTTATTATTCAGTTTCATTAAACTATAAATTATTGGTACCAGATAAATATAAATGAGATTTCATTTGCTATAATATAAACAAATTGTTTTTCTCCATGTTACTCACACACAAATAATGGTTAGAGGAGAGTTTTTTGCATTTATGTAGGTTTGCTATTACTGATTTTATCATAATAACTTATATTCTAAGCTTGGTATGGCATTCCTTATTTTCATATACTTAAAATAAAATATTAAGAAGCATAAAACGTCACACTCATACTCCTTATAGCACTAAAGAAATTAAATACACTTAAATATTCGTTTGATATAAACTGACTCATAAACTAGATTAATATTTGTATATGTTTATTCAAATCAGAGTTTATTTGAGTTAAAGAAAGATAATATTCGTTTTTAATGCCTATCTAAGAAATAGGTATGTAAAAAGTACATAGCAATAGTTGTATGAACTGACATGCACTTTATTACTTCTTAAGAATTAGTATATCTTTAAAGATATATAAAAACTAAAATAAATGAATACATCAATTTTATATACAAACAAAACAATATATTTATATAAGCTTAAATAAATTTATGAGGTAATTGTACAATAATTTACAATTTCAAAAAGTCAACAGTTTCTGTTCTTTTCTTAATTCTGTTGAAAAATTTATTAATGTTTTGTTGATATATAAATGTATAATTTATGTATTTTTCTTTGAGTATGAAGCAGAAAAAAATAATCATACCTGTGATTTCACCACCACCTAATTCATTCAAGATTTTCTTGTAAGATGGTCTTCTAGTAAGAATACCTCCTCTCTGTTCTGAAGATTCCTCTGAGTCTGAGAAACTATCATCACTACCTGTTTCCACGACCTGTCATAATAATATAGAATATTGAATATGAATAAAATAATGTGTCCCAAATAATTATTCTTAGAATGTAAAAATAATAATTTAAAAAAATCAATAATATGACTTAATTAAAACAAAACTTATTATCAGTTATTTAATTTATTAAAATTACAGAAAAACATACCTGAAGTGTTTGCAAACTTGCTTGGGCTGTTTGTATGACAGAATTTGGTTTACTGACAAGAATGACATTTCCCTTTGAAATAGCAACAGGTTGAATATTGGTTGCAGTCTGAATTACTGACTGTTGATTGGGTTGTATAACAGATTGTACCTAATTTATTAAACAAACAATATTAGAAACTATCATACATATTAAAATGTATGATTTATTGAATAAATGAGTATGAATATGTATAAAATATTTTAACATGAACCAAAAAATAACTTTTAAAATTGTTTTATTTAATATATAATAAAAAATATAAATTCATTATATTAATAAATAAGGAATAAATAAGTAAATTCTAATTAGTTGATCAAGAAAACTAAATTCTAATTTGAACCAGCATTATGCAAGATTGAATATACACACAGTGCTTGTTTGATTAACTGATAATCATGATTAAAGCAGAAATAAATTAAATATGCATGCTTTGAAATAAAAAAGACATAGATACACAGGAGATTCTCCTGTATACCTGTGTTGCCCCTGACGTAGGTAGTGTCAGTTGCACAATGCTGGTAGAAGCTACCAGATGATGAGTTTGCTGCTGTGTTCTATTGAGAGATTGTACCGATGTAGCTATTGCTGGTGCTGCATCACCGCTTTGAGAACCCGTAGACAATGGGTCAACTGCTGATCCATTTTCCTCAACCATACTTTCCATAGCCTGGGAACCTCAAACCCTACAAAAGAAAAAATATTTTCATAATTTTGTATATTGTTCTTTATGAGTTTATATGTATACTGTAATTAATCTTTTTAATGTTAATTTTAGTGTATACTGTTTTATAATTACAGCTATAAAGATAAAGATGCATGGTATATTAAATGAAGGAATTCTTATGTGATAAAAAGTTTAATATTTAAATTAATTTTCCTACTAATAATAAACGTTGTCTATAATCTAGTAAAACGTTTAAATTTAATTTTCTCGATAGTTTTAAACACTTAAAAAGAAAAAATAACTATACAAAAAATGCGTACAATTTCTTATTTAAAAAGTCAAACATATGCATACTTGAAATTTCACGAATCGACTTCCAGATTAAAGATAAACATCGTCAGAACAAGTGGGACCGAAGATTCGAAAACATATCGACTCGAAATTGGGGCTTATCCATTAAAATGCAAAAGTTTTAAATTTCCCGCCAGTCAGCGATCGGCGGTGTTACTGCGTCATTTACATAAGCAGTAGATCTAAAAATAATACGAGAACAATAAACACTTAAGATGCTTTCGTATGTGAGCAAAGGGCCAGAAGTCATAAAAAAAACATGATGAAACGTGACTAGGGTTGTACCGATCAGTATCACGATGTCTCGGTTAGCGATGGAAAGAGATGTCAGAATCGTCACGTAACCCCCATTGCCCTTTTCGAGAAATTCGTACATCTTCCTTAAGGCGCCATATTTTACGGCATATTCCATAGCAGACGTAAAACTGATTGTACTAGGTTCATGAAATCAAATGCTAGTAGTTTCGGCAACATTTTCGAAGTACCGTAAGCGCAGTGGTCCATGCCCGGTTGTTATTATTCTCCAGCTGGGTACTTACCAGTTACGTATTTCTCGTCACCAACTTTGCTGCAATCGGAGTGGGCAAACGGGCAGGTACGTAGCAGCCACGTCAAAACTCCAGTGGCTTCGTCACTGGTGGAGCCCACGACCTCCGCGCTGCGCGTCACGATCAAAATGGCCGACGGTTTCCCTCCACCCCCTCATAAGCTGATCGTGCATCGGATAGTGATAGAACCGATGCTCTTGTATGTGTTTGAAACTAACCACGTTTTCTTAAAAATTCGATCGATTTGTCTTAAACAAATTGTAACCGACATCAATTAATTTCACCGATACGTTCATAACAATTGGTTGATTTGTTATGTTTAATATTCTGTGGTTATAAAACGGTTAAGTATTAATACATTCTGCCGCAAACAACAGTTCGTTTCGTATTAATTATATTTATAATGAAACATTTCACCTTGATTAATTTAATAAAAAGGAAAACATATTATCAGTTATTTTTGTCTTCCAAATAATCGACAAAAATTAGATGTTTTAATTGACATAATATTGTACGTGATAGCTGTTTAAAGATTCATGTGTTATTTATCCTTTTACATTTATATTTTTATGTTACTTTATGTTGTAAAATAGTGTAATACTACACTTGTAATTTGTAATGAATACAAATAACGATGTGTTGTAATCTGAACGTGTTTATTCAATTTTAATTGCCTCGTGATTTCATCATGTAATCTGCAAATATACCGTTGTTCGAGCATCGAAACAACGTTTTCTTATCGACATTTCAACAGAATATAACAATGTAGACATTATTTAGATCTCATAAAAAAGAATATTACATTTTAAATATGTAGCACTTCATAAATCATTTAGAAATTCACAATTTTACAAAGCAAATGTTGAGACAATTATACGAGCATCTCCAGGATTTACACATGTTTCAATTATCTGTCACTTAAATTCCTTTTCACATTTTAAATATTCAACTTAAAAATTTGTTTACTACAATAAATAACTTAAATTTGTACCGTTATGTTCAACAACTAGCAATAAAATTATTTTTTATTTCCTTTAAATTTTCATGTTTATGATATAAGGTAATGTTTATTTAATTTTGTTATTAGCATTAATATTTAACATGTATAGAGATTATGTTATTGACATATTTTATTATATGATGATTCATATTACATACTGAAAATGCCTTTATAGGTACGAATGAATTGCAAAGCTTTGGAATTATATTTTCTTCTACATTTATCGTACAAATGCTTTGTAAAAGCATGAATATATATAAACATTTGAAAAATCGATTAATGCAGAAAATTTAAATATTAATGCATAACAGTATTCATACATACGTATATTTAAATAGCGTAAAGAAACGTCGTTGGTGATGCTGACGTCATTCAGTGACGTCATCATCATATTTAGATCCTGCACATATGTTTCCCATACTTAAACCATATTTGCATTGTTTATGTCCTTAAAGCCTTTATTTATGATAAATTATCAATAAATTATTCAAATCTTTTGAATGAGTACAGTAGTAGTACCCTTTACACAATTATCTGTCTTCGTTAAAGTACTTTTGTACTTAAATATAAAATTAGAAGTCAACATTGTTATATAATAAAAGACCATTATTTCTCATATGTATAATATTTTATAACTTTTCGTTTATTTGTTCACAGACGAATAAGAATTAATATTATCAAAAGTTAGTAGTCATATTAAGTAGCGCGTAGCACCTGTAACCATGAATTTCATTTCATTTTGGAGGTTTAATAAGTTACCCAAAATTTTCGTTTAAATGTACATAAATTTTATAAAAATTATTTGTGAACTATGTCATTCATATAATTAATAGACAAAGAATAATGCTTACGTATTGTTAACGCAAAAATAGAATATCGTTATTTCATTGGTAGTTTCGAGATCGCTGCTTCAAGATCACTTTTTCTATTGGACATTACATGTTCGAGCACAGCAGGTACAGAATGTTATTCGTCGATCGGGAAAATGTATGAAATGCCAATCAGTATCGAGGTTAGAAATCTCAACAGAATGAGAGCCAATAAGAATCTTCGTCCTTTACGAGCTTGTCAAGTGATTATTCATTGAGTCAATCTGTGTTTTCTTGCTACATGTGTGTCAGCAGTACGCGAATATATCGAGATCGTATTGTTGAAACCTGTTGTTGACATTTTCAGTGACATAACCCTTAAGATTGAATCGTGTTATTGTTTGTCTTGAAAACGAACTTGAATTTATGCATGATTATTTGCAAATTGTTAAATTCTAAAATCACATTCGGTCATTTAATGCTTAATGCGTGTGGCAGAGATTGATAAGCTAGAGTGAATATATCCACTATTGTAAGTGTATTATTATAATAAAATGAAAGATGTTTTAGTATTCAGTATTGTACAAATAATGAAAAAGCAGAATAGGTCTTGTATCATTTGAGATGATAATTATATTAGATCCAATTAACTTTTATGTACTTCATAAAATTTACAAATACAGTTTGTAGTTGCATAGTTGATGTTACTTTGTTAAATATTGAAAACACTGATACCAATTAAATTATTCTCTTTCAAGTGATACATTTATAAACCATTAATAAATCTATAAAAAGTGCCAATGATTAATACAGAAAGTACAGAATTTGATAACAATATTTACAAAATTATTTTTGCATTTGTAAGATGTATTACTTATAAAAAATAAACATTAACTGAATCTACAAAGTTTACCAATGCCTTTTTATTCCAATTTTATTCAATTGTGTATATCATTTTGTTTTTCCTTGCAAGAAGTTATTTTCATTCATACCATTTGCTTTTTATTTTGTTATGAATTTATTTTATTTTCATTACAGCTACACAAAAATGCCACAAACAACCACCATTGAAACAATCACTATTACTAGGCCCTTAAAGGTAAGTCTTCTCATTTCTTTTTAACTTGCTTTAATTAGTTTACATTATAAAATATCTGTTTAATATAAATTCTAATAAAGTACTTCATAAGCTCCTAAATTGATACCTTCACAAGGTAAAAAAGAAAGATATTACAATTCATTATCATGTTCTGAAAATTGAATACATTCAAAACTGCTACAATTGCCAATTATGGTAGCAATAATAAATGTTACTGTAAATAGATAAATCACAAAAATATCTGAGATTAAATTGGATTAAAAATTGAATCAATATAATTAACTTTCAAATTGTAACATAAAAAAATCAAGATGATAAATCAACAAGGTTAATATTTATTTAAGAAAACTGCATTATTTTAACAGTCACGTGATTAGGAAAAATTTCTATAAATGGAACGCGTTCGTCTCAAGTTTCGTCTATACTAAAAAGCACCCTCTACCACGTACGCGCACTGCGCCACGACCTTTAATGGGCGCAGCTTCCCTGGAACCCAATTACTCCCCCAACTTCGGATGGAGACTGTCTCCGCTTGACCTCGCTAGTTGAACAAGTCTTTTCGGGACTTTGGGTGATCGAACCGACTGAGAAATGAACGCGAGTTGTAGCAGCAATGTGACTCGCGTAACAATTTGAAGCGGGGACGCGATTAAAAATTGTTTCGCGAATCGAACGAAAGTGCAGGAGACAAACCGTGTTTACCCTGGAGGTGTTTGTCATTTACAAGGGTTTCGTGCCTTCGAATAATTTCTAAATGCTTCCTTGTCGTCTACTGAGGGTGATTCGTGGAAGAGTGTACGATGTCCCGTAAATGGTACTTGTCGAAAAGATCAAAGAAAGTGTGAAGTGTTTGGAACGGTTCTAATTAGATTCTAGTTTCTTGGTTTTGTCCATTGGGACTAATCTTGAGAGTGCACCGTAGATCTATGATGATCATGTATACAGTCGCGGAGGATCACATGGGCGATACCGAGATCGCACAGGTATACCCGTGTTATGTTTTTTTTTTATGAACCTGTAGCGACGATAATAGTGTATAATGATCGGAGTTTATAGCGGTTTTATTTTGAATAAATTTTAATGTCTCCGTATGTTTCACAATTGTTTTTTTAAGTAAAAACAAGATTTTCATCTCGTGTTTAAACGGTTAATAAATTATTATTGAAATTCACAATATCTGACATTCTTTAGTTAGTAATAAAATAATGCAATGCAGTCTATTGATGATCCAAATATAATTTTATTATTTTTGTTTTGCAGGTGATAGCATTTATATGTGGGATCATAGTAATATTGCTGATGATAATGGGTTTAGCCTCTACTGACTGGTTAATGGCATTAGGATGGAGACAAGGTCTATTTGCACATTGTATTGAAGAATCTGCACCTACACCTTTGCCATTTAATGTGCCAGATTCAGTAGGATGTTCTCAAGCTAGAGACGTTGGTATGAATAAATTATTGTGTTTATCCTTCCTTTAAATTCTTCAAAGTGGAACATTTTTATTTACTTTTGTGTTTTTTGCAGCCTATATGAAAGCAGCTGCTGCCTTATGCGTAGTGTGTTTAATAACAGACATTGCAGCAACAGTTCTCACTGGTCTTGGTTTGAGGTCACAAGATAATCGTGACAAGCACAAATATTATAGATTTGCAGTGTTCTGCATGGGTTTTGCATGTAAGACTGGCTATGTAGCATGAAATATTTATAATAATATAGACCTGTTCTGTGTGTTACATATACATTTCTTTCTGTTTCAGTGGTATCACTCTTAATAGCTTTAGTAATATATCCAGTGTATTTTGCTACAGAACTTAATCTTGGTAAGTCTATATATAGTTCTGCAAAATTTGAATGTTCAATATTTTTACAGTATAAAGTATAATCTTTATGTTGTTTAATATTATAAAAATTATATTACAGGAAATCGAACAATATGGGAATTTGGTTGGGCATATGGAGTTGGATGGGGTGCAGCTATATTTTTGTTTGGTGGAGCGGTGTTGTTATTATGCGATAAAGAAAGCGAAGAAATTTATTACAAAGAAAGAAAAATCGTACGCGATGATATTGGCGGCGGAGGTTCTATGATTGGTATGGGACATCATGGTGGACGAAGTGGGACGCAATTAGCCTAGTGGCATTGCTCCCTGCCCGACGTTGTTCTCTAGGTGATTAATTTCTTCTTTTTCTGTCCTCACTATTTGATACATTTGAGAAAAAAACGTACACATGTATAAGAGTGAATGGTTTTTATATATAGTCTACTTGTTACACCAGCATATATTGGACATAACTATCACTTTGATATAGGATGTATGAAACATCTTATCAATCCGTCATTAAAAATTTGACGAAAACAAGGTTTGTGAATTGACTGAGACTTGATTAATTCGTTCATGGGTAACCAATTTCCAATTTCTCATAGTAAAAATTTCGGGACCATTGCTTCGTTTAGTTTCCTATAGTATTATATTTTATGTATGTTATATAATTACAACTATTTTTTATGTAGTGCATTAACATTATTTACATTATTAGTTTACTTATTAAGTTTTTATATCATCTCAATGGTAGCATTGATGCTGCGTTTCTTATTCGTGAAAAAATAATTCATCATATACCGTCGCATTTTGTATTACCGTTCTGATTAAGACAAAACGGTAATTATCATTTTTAATGTGAATTTTGCAATTTTCTAGTATTTATAATTTCTCGTTACAATCCAATTTTCGTTATGCCTGCATTAACAATTCATTATTTATATTTGGCTAACTTTAAAGATGATTTTCGCCGTTTGAAAGTAGTAAGCAATACTTGAGTACTTAAATGCAATATAAAAATTCCAATAGAAAAAAGTTAAAGAATATACAAGTAATTAATATGATTAGAAAATGAAGTCACTGCCTTTCTTAGTCAAGTAATAAATCATTAATTACTTTAATTTTCATGTAAAAATTGCAGCTTTGATTTAGTTAATATTTATTATGTTTATTTTCTACATATTCGTATGTACATATACATATATTAGATGCTAGTAATTTATTATTTGCTTGCATTTATTTTTTTCTTACTATTATCAAAAGTGATATTTGTTTTAATCAAATAATTTATATTATCGTGGCGTTTACCAATATTTTTTGGTATAATATTACGAAAAAGTAACGTTTATTACTTATACTTCCATATATTTTGCAATAAAACTTGGCCAAAAATTGTTATAAGCGATATATCTTGTGATTACATACACGCGCACAAAGTATATGTATAAATGAAATTAGAAAAAAATTTTCATATACATTGTTTTAAAGTCTTCCTTGATTTTTTGATAAATGTGTAAATGTTTTCCTATTGTACTATGAAACATGCAAGTGCTACCTCCAGTAATTTTTACTTTTTGAGTATAATTGTTTAAATTATGAATACTTGAATTATGCAAAAAGTGCATGAAAGAAAGTAAGGGAAAAATGGTTTCTCTGTAATTCTTCCAAACTGATGAAATATATCATTTAATTATATAAAGAGTATCATCTTTAGTTGCTTCTCTTGTATGCGTCATA